TGTCTCTGGTCATAGAATAATGCCTCACGGTTGGGGGTGTGTGTGTGGGAGCATCGATTATAAATCTAACCCGGGGATGCACCAGCATAGCTCACATTGATGCTTTGGTCAAAGGCTGTCCAATAGGTGTAATTACTTTAAAAGCCTGAATGAAAGCCTACCTAGTTTTTCTCATAAATTCTCTCTTGTAAGCTTTATCCAAGCTGGGGCATTTTGCACTGGGGTTATGAACTCTTTTCCTCTCCTGATAAGAGCACAGTGACCTTGCTTGGGGTCAGCAATCCGTTGGTTCTCTGATCAGGAAGAGGGTTTTCAGAGCTACAGGGTTTTGACCAAAACTTTGGTCACAGCTGCTCCTCTGGAAGGTGATGTCTTTTGCAGAGAGCAAGAAGTTGTTAAAGTCATTCAATAAGGTAAATGTCATATTTCAGAGCAGTAATGTGAAGAAAGAATTTGCAAGGACTTTTATTGAAATTAAAATCCCCAAATGTCTTGACATAAAACAGATAGAAGCAGAGCTGCTCTGTGCAATGAGGTCTGGGGGTCTGGTGTCCAGCCTACGACTTTGTAGAACACACACTGGTTGCCACCATAGAAGTGAGAACTAACACTTGCCCTGTGCTTTCATATGGACTCAAGAGAACTCTGTAACCTCTAGGACCTCCTCAGCTCCTTGAAGCTCCGGGTCCCCCCAGCACAGGAGATGTGGGTCCTTACCACGTGGTATGGATGAAGGAAAATTCTCTTTCCTGCCAGCCCTGTCACTGCCTACTTTCCTGCGATACGGGTCACAGAGCTTCTCATTTCCTCACACAGCACAAACCTGGCATGTAACTTGTTATGAAAAAATCATGATGGAATTCTCATGTGATAGGACAGTATGCGCAAAACCATCTGCTTTAAATCCAGAGATGAAGAGATTCTTTCTGTTTCTTCACTGTCTTCTTGAAAGCAAATTCATCACGATATGATCGCTGGTGAATGATGTGACTTTCAGCATCCATGCCCATAAACAGAGATGGAAGTTATTTCCAGCCAAATGTATTTTAAGTTTTCTTAATTTAAAAACTTCAGGGAAGCCCCATTCCTCTGATTAGTGACCTCATTAAGAGAAAACCACAACAAAATTCTCATGTAATTGTTTGAAATGTTTCATGTCAGAAATTGTAAATGAAAATCTGTCTTTTATACTATAATTCTAATTCTTAAACTACAACTACTTTAGACAACTTAAAGCATCATATTTCCTGATTTCTTCATATCAAAGGGGATCACACATGGAGACTCAAAATTTTGTTTCAACTATTGGAAAAGTAAATATCTAAAAAAAAAAAACCAAAACAAAACCAAACAACTTCCACAAGGAAGCAAAAATTGAGATTTCCTATGCACTGCTTCCAAACCTCAGTCAGAGGCGCATACACTGTATTTCATCCAGGCAAGGCTGTTGAAGCGAAACTGACTTTTGACAGTGTTTCTGTCTGGGATTCTGATGATAGGATTTGATTAGGAACTGGGCTTGTAGCGTCAGGATCTGGCATCTACATGTTCGTAAATCCAGAAGTCAAAACACTTGGTGCTGCCCATGGACTGTCTACAGAGGCAACCGTAAATGTTTTGAGTTGATAGATGTGATTGTCTCACTAATCACAGGGGTGGTGCTTCCCTGAAGTTCTTAAAAATGTTTTTACCTCCCCTCTGAAGGTAGTTCAGTGTTTGTAACTCTAAAGTTGGACATCATGCACAATTTCATTCAGCTTACTACTTTCACAGATTAAGAAGTTGAGACTCAAACTTTGGTGATTTGCTCAAGGATAAAGCAGATAATCAGGATTAAAAACCTGGCTTACCATTCCCAGTCGAGTGCTCTTTCTGTTATAGTATGACATTTTTTTTTTTTAAGCAATGAGTTGTTGGCTATAGAATGAAGCAAAAAGCACATGTGAAACTTTGTTTTTGTGTTTCAAACCATCAAACCCCACTTATTAGTACATGTCCAAAAGTTAATAGATAGCTATTCTCTGCCTAAAAAACAGCCAATATCTTAAAAATTCAAACACAAACAGATAAAGCAGTACTTTATAACTTATGTGCCATGGACTTTCTGAAGCAGTTCTCTGGGTAGACCCTACGCTTCTTTAGGATACAAACATTGCATTTATTCACAACTTTCTACAGTTCATCTAAAAAATCAGACACATCAACACACTCTTCTACTGCAGTGGAGGGAAATACTATTTTTATGTTATTCTCATTTTCAGTTCAAAAGGTTAAATCCCTAAAAAGCATCCTTTGAACAATCTACTATTGGGAGCTCAAACCTTGGGGGATGGCATAGAAGTGTAGATGAAGTGGGGTCAAGGGAGCTTGGATCAGTTCTTTGCCCCAGCACTTCCTGGGAAGGTGAATATAGACATTCGATCACTTAAGGAGATGAGTAAACTTTAACAAAATACCAAAACAAGTGCTGCAACATGACCTCCCTCATCCTTTGAATCTGCTTCTTCTCTATCCCTCACTCAGTAAAATTCCTGCTGAGCAGGGTACCCCTGGAGAAATCCTGGACTGTGTGGTCAGTGAGTGATTTTCTCCCTTCTCTGAAAGAAGTGCACATGGGGTGCACCACTAATGCTCACTTCTGCTTTATGGAAATGGAGCAGTATGGAAATGGAGGACACAGTTGATTTTTAGAAATCCTAATAATGGAATCTGTTTCCCTCAAGAAGTTAGCAAATGTCAAAAGGTCAAACCTCCTTCTAAAAAAAAAAATACCTGGAAGCTAAATCTTATAACTACTCACCAAAATACTTTGTTCCGTGAGTCTTTTAAACAGAGTATATACAGTGTTAGGTTTCTAGACATGAAATTCTGTTTATAAATTTTCCAAGATTTGGATATAGTAATTGTTTCTGCAAGCTTCCAGTGTTCACTCATTTTTATTCTTAAGAGTTGACTGATTGGTTGTTGGAGACTCTTGTAGAATTTATGAACATCTTCACTGTATATTTTAGCTTCTTACTGAATCCTGTTTGCTAATATTAATATTTTAAATGACTGTTTAGCTTGATCTTTAGTCCACTTAACCGTCACCACAAAATCTCAATTATTATACTGTAATGAAGTGAGATTTTTATGGTCTACATAAACTTGTTTGCAAGAATCTCTGGCAAAGTATTGTTGATGTTGTTTTTGCTTTTCATCAAAATTATTACATCTCCAGGGACAAATTAAATGTTATTTTTTCTGGCATGCCTTATGCTTTATATTTTGGTCTAGTGATTTTTTTTTTTGGCCTACTCATATATTCTGAGAAACTAATTGTCAACACATAGTTTAGATTTTTTTAAGCTGATAACTTGTAAGGGTCATTATATCAGATTCTAAGATTCTCTCCATGGCTTCAAGGGATTCATTGGAAGCTTAGGTTTTTTTTTTTTAATTCGCTAAATAAATTAACATATTTAAATGTATCAGGACTAAAAATGATGAATACCACATCAACATAACAGATTGTATCATGTTCATTTGCTTATATTCTTGGCTGAAATGTGATGAAAAATTACTGAAACTGAATCTCAGCTGAGTTGTATAGACAGTGACCATTTTATGCACCAAGGGATGGTGGCTCCCTATCAGGTGGAAGGATGTTATTTATTGTGATTCCATATTTCCTTTTGGTAATGACCCCTGAATTTGTTCTCTTGGGGAAGTTTTGATAAAGCTATAGCTGTTACTTATCTTTTACTTTTGTTTTACTATTATTATTAGTTTTGTTGCTGTTCTCAACTTTGAAAATTACCTAGATTTTAGCTGCTTCATAGACATACAGAGCACATATTTTCTGCCTACAGTATTCAGATCCATCTTTACTTAAAAAATATAAAGATGATCCATAAGTATATAATAAGAGAATTTCAGAAGACTGCTTCTTCTTCCCAATAGATAAAAAAAAGATTCGACTTTATGAACAAGATGTTAAAGTTGTCCAGAATATGTACCTGTAATTCAATAAACTTTCAATATAATAGTGTTTTAAAAGTCAGTATTGAAAATAGTGTTTCAATATATTTAGGACATCAAACTTCTAATAAAGTGTTATAAAAAATAAATTATTTTGTAGCAAAAAATATAGATACTAATATTTTTACTGTACTGAGTAGTCACTTATACCATTTAAAATGTTTTTGTTATATTATATTTGCAAGTTTTAAGAGACTTATTTTTATGTTTACATAACTCTATAGATTCTTTTTTCTCCTTTCAGGACTACTTATTTTTATGTATTTGCTAGTAGCTATGTGTTTTTTTTATTTTTGCTAGGAACCATGTCATACAAGCAAATAATCAATTCTCTGTCAACAAGTAAACCACTTATGTGGTTGTATTTATGTAGGCAAATATTTGTTCTCAGAAAAAAAATATCTTAGTGTGTTGCCTTTAAAAAAAATGAAACAAGTACTGTGTGTGGCTGTTGCTTTTTGACATATGAGCATTTAAATGTCACTTCCAATTTATACATGTTGGATAGAAGCACTTCAGCTTATAAAAAGTACTTAGCTAGTCAGAAGAAATTAAATATTTGGAAAAGATTATTTTTGAGTAAAATATTTTAAAGCCATTTTAATATTAATATATACTGAGAACTATTATGTCAGGTTGAGTCTGAATGCTCCTGGGGCACTGAATAACTTTCAGTGATATAACCATGCCTAACAGACTATCTAATAAGATGATATGTTTTCTATTGATCCATTTGGCTATAAATTCAAAAGTACCATGTGCTAAAACATGTATACTCATTAAATATATTGAGATTAAAAATAAAATGTAATAGCAACTGCTATCCACCTGAAACTTTCTTTTACAGGAGCATACTTTTTCTCAGCAATCATAATCTGATACCCAGAGGCAAAAAACACAGGGAGGGCAGGGGGAGATGACTTTTCATGATATCAGGTTTTGCTGACAGCATAAGATGGTAACGGATTCAACTTATCAGCTTATAATACAGTTTTCATTTTATTTTAAACATATTTTGCATGATATAAAAATATTGATCACAGTGAGCTTTACCAGTTGTTATTGCTATAAAAATGAATGCAGAAACAATATTTTTAGTGGAAATAAATTATATAGTCATTATTCTTTTTAAAAAACAATCACAAGAGAAAAACCTCAGCTGTTTGGTCATTGGCAGAAAACCAGTCTTTTAAAGAGGTCTTTTGCAGACGAGCTCCAGTCCATTTCTGTAACATTCTCCACGTGGCTCAGGAAACTGACTTTTGTCTTTGTTACCCGGTCCACAGAGTCTCTGTGTTCATAGCTCTAGCATGGTTTCCCATGATAGAACAATGACGAACTAGAAAAGATACAATCTCAGTTCACAAGTGGTCTTTTCCAATAGGAAGGGACACAGCGACATACTTCTTCACTAAATGAAAGTCCCTGCTCACAATGCTTCACCCGATTTGTACATGGTCGTCTGTAACAACTAGAGGAACAAAGAAGGACAGACTTCTGTTAAAGACCAAGAGATGAATTTGTTATGCTACAAATGCACTGTCGTGTTTTTCTAAGTTTCAGACTGGAACAAAGTTACTCACTTTATCATAAAACGGTTGTCCAGTTTATAAATTGCTAAAGTTTGTGCCTGGAATTTCCAAATTTAAGAGGGATGGAAAAAACTTGAAAAAAAAAAAGTCTTTCTTGCAGAAATAACAGATGGAAGAATGAGGTGTTGTTAGCATTCATTCTTTTGAAGTGCTCTGTGCTTCATAGATGAAAGTAACATAAAACAGAAATTTTGAAAGTGACTATTTACGGTCTGCCGATTTAGTGTGATCACATAAGCGTGGCAGAATTCTCACAATTCTCGGTCCCAGAATTCTGGGACTCGGTTGGAACCAGACTTCAGGGTGATTAAACCCAGCCATTCTGCCAGGGCTGTGGTCCACAGGAGGGCCCCACCCTTGCTCCTGACCTGGGCTGGCAGCTGGTTGCTGCACAAGGGTGGCCAGCCTCCCTCGTCCGCCTGGACTCTACGTGAGAACAGTGCGGGCCAGGAGAAGGGGCGGGCAGGGACAGTGTTCGCTGTGGGACAGCTTCCTCCCCCCACCCTCGATGTCCAGTTTCTAGCGGTGGTGAAAGGACAAATGACTCAGCAGTAAATAACATCCACAGCCCTGTGGCTCCAGTGAACAGAACATCTTTGAAGGACTTTCTGAGGGATGAGTATACATAATGTGGCCATGGAGAAAAACACAAGGCCACCTGGAAATCAGAAATGTACCACAGAAAAACTACAACTAGGATTTTGACATATCATTTATTTTGCTCCTGAAAGCATATCTAGTTAAAATATTTATTTACTTTCATTTCTAGATACAAATGCATTAGTATAGGGATACTGGTAATCCTTTACTAAAAAGATATGATTTTCAATAATCAATGAGGGTTGCTGACTAAGGTAATAAATCACAGAATAGATACTCTGCCCACTACACTTTTAGAATAAATATGATGACAAAGTAAGGAGTATGTATTTCCTCAAAATATCAAACTATCTTTTTTTTTGTTTCAGTATATGCATAAAATATGGAATTATATGCTTAGAAAAATGAACATGGAGAGAAATTCAGTGAATAGAAAGCCATTAAGAAACAACGTATGCTGTGAGGAAAAATACAATGATAGAATCCTTTTCTCTAAGTTAATGTAAGAATTGTGTAGAAAAATATAATAATGTGAGTTTTATGTAAACAAAAATTTCAGGCTTTTTACTGTAAACTGGGTTCACTTGGATTCAATGTGCAAAATGGTTTAATGATCTTTAAAAAGATTTAGTATCTATATTTTTCTATAGTTTTGGTATATCCTTTTGGTAATTAGAATAGGATATGTAAGTAAAATTGCAATATCATTGCTAAAAAATATTCTAAAGAGGAAACATAAGGATTCCTATAAGGTTTTCCAAAATGGTAATGGAAAAAGAGATCCCTAGATTCATGGAAGTCTCTTCATGCAGTAGCTAACATGTTAGTGTGGATGGATCATCAGAAAGATGAACTGAAACGGTAACACAAGCTCTTGAGAATCAAAAGAAGGACACTATTTAATGAAGACAAAAGTAATGATTAACATCCATATAGATATTATATTGCAAGTAAGTGTTATCACCATCTGTAAAGAGCGGGTGGAAGAAGAGAACCCAGTGATGGTGACAAAGAGGAGGTGGAGAGCAGACTCAAAGGACAATCAGGGAAGCACAGTGTTCTCTCGGCCCAAACAGAAACTGCAGAAAGACCGGACTGTTTGTGAATCCCAGTGAAAAGGGCTACTGAAGTCTTAAGCACAGCTTAACCACGGAGTCCTCAGGGCATAACAGGATTACAGCTGGGTGAATAAAAGAGAGATGAAAGAGGAGAACAGTTAATGCAAAATGACCTATCACGGAACGACTCAGAAAACAAGGACAGAGCTTATTGCTAAAGAAAGTTCAACACTGCAGTAAGATACCAATACAGAAATGCCGGGACTTTTTTAAATTGGAGGGAGAGAACAACAGAGTTGAGGACATTAAAGGTGTGGAAGAGAAAGGGCGTGATTGGTGGAGCGATGCTGACGCAAAGTGGGAGGCCGTGTCAAACTCTCAGAGTTGGCTTATTCTTGGATCAGAGGAAAAGGATCAGGGATTAACGCTGAAAGTTCGTGTCCAGGAGACTCTTTATTATTTTTTTTTCTGTGATGAAGGAAGCCAAATCAGGTTAACGGAATGCCTTGAGTAACCTTTAACAATGTGTTAATATATTTCTCTAATTCTCATTAAATACTTAGCTTCACTATTTTCATGTCTAGATACAATTCCACAGTAAATGGTATTATCCTACTCTTTGTGAACTTCGCACAACATTTTCTGCACTTAGAACAGCTGTCCAAAATTACATCTGAGTGCACTGTCATTTTTGGTAGGGGCAGATGTGCACTGCCTGGGTGTATGTTGAAGATGCTCCAGAAATGACTGTCCTACGCATTTATCATCTAACTCATGTTGCGAGCTGCTCTCTTAGCCTCTGGGACAAGGACTTAGTGCAGTCTGAGCTTGGATCTCGTTTTGGTTTCCAAGGATCTCATCTTGCTTTTTCAGGAGCAAACAGTCCCCCCAAAATTTAGCATTGTTTACAAAATTCATCTTACAGAACTTAAATGGCCCCATTCTAACAAACCAGTATTTTGGCTGAGAAAATTGCTTTGGATTGAGAAAACTATTTCCAATATAAGAGATTAATATTCTTTATGAAGGTTTCTTACCTGCATGTTTGATGCTGAAACTTCTTTCCTTTTAAGAAGCATTTCTGTGGATTTTCTGTACATTCACAGGCACATTTTCCAGGGTTTAAGGGCTGATTTCTTGGGCAGGTTCTTTTACATACGCACTGGCATGTGTTTTCATCAAATTCTCTGTTGGCCCCACATGAGTTGGGGAAAAGTTTGTTTTTACAGACACACTGGCATGAGTCTCTGTCTAGTTCCTTGTGGGGTCCACAGTTGGAAGCCCGAAGCCCCCCTCTGCAGACGCATTGACAGGTCTCTTCGTCCAGCTCCTTGTTGGGCCCACAGATGTCATGGAATCCGTCCGCAGAGTCTAGACAAACACAGTCAGGACAGCTTTACTATCCCTTACTCGGTTCTGGGTGTGGAGTGAAACAATAAGAGCACTTAGAAGTGTCTTCCTTTGCACAGCTAGGTTCCTTCACAGAGAAGTTCAAAGCAATACCAGAAGCAGAAAGTGAAGCAGAATGTGTTCTATTTTGTAGTGACTGATTTCAAAGTTTGAGGATGAATATTGTACATGTGATTTTAATATTAGGTATTTGTTAACCAACATAGAGACCCTTGGTGTTTAGTCTTAAAACATCATTTGGCTTACCGTCTCCAGCACTGGGGGAGAAAATAAAATCCTGCTGAGCCAGGCATCTGCAGACGTGGTTATTCCAAACGTAATCTGTGGGGCAAGTCTTGTTTGCAGCCTGGCACCTGCGGAGAGACAGGTTAAACCAAAGAATAAGTGGCACGGGGAAGGGGTCATCTCTTTTCTTACCTGTGTAATACAGAATCATTGATGCTTTTGAAAAAGTATTAAGACGATATAATAATATATAAAATGAAATGCAAACATTCCCTCTCAAACTACTCCCACCCACAGGTGCTGTCCAATCCTAATGGTCTTATATCGTTTCAGATTCCTCTTTTTAAGGCAAACACATTTGTTTGTATGATCACGTACAGTTTTAGTTGATGCAAAAATGGGATAAAGCCTTTCATACCATTCTGAAATTTCCTTTTTCCATTAAACGATCGATTATGGACATCTTTATATGCCATCTCATAAAATTTGCTCCATTAAAAAAAAAAAAACTTGCTCCATTATCTTTATTGGCTGCATAATAGTCCACAAGTGGGTATACTATTACTTATTGATCTCCTATTGGTAGCCACTGGAGTTTCTTCCAGATTTTGGGGTTCTAAACAATCCTACAGGAAACATCCTTATACATGCACTTTACTGACTTATTTCTGAAGCACAAATGCCCATAATTGTAAAGGGTCCATTAACACAGAGTTCCCATTCTATACTCCCCAGAAAGGAATCAAAGATCATGGTTTTTACTGTTACCTGTAAACAGGTATTCCCTTTTTGAATTTCATCCATGCAGTTTCATCCTCAACTTCTCTCCTCTTTGTCATCCCCCACACAGTCCCCAAGGCACATGCTTTCTTATATTTCTTAAAATATCTTTCCACACCCATTTCTACTGTCTTGGTTCCCACTCATGATTTATCTCTTGGATTTTTTCAGAAGTTCCCTCTCCACTTTTTCCAACTCCTGTTTTGCTTCTCTGATCCACCTACTATATTGCCACCAGGCTGTTCTTTCTTTCTATCTCCACAGCCTAGCACTACAGTGGTACCTAGAAGGTACACAATAACTTTTCATTAAATGACTGAATGAAGCAGAACATAGTGTATTATATGCTTCTTATACTAGATATATATGTCTTTATTTGTACTCTGGTAAATGGGTTGCTTTAGTTGAGAAATTATATAATCCATTAAAAATATCCTACATTTTGTAGCACAATGCTATGTACACAGAAGACTCAACATAAATACTCACGAATGAATAAACACTGAGTAGAAAAATCTACTAGGGTATCACTTTTTAATCATAAATGGCTCCCTCCATTAAAACAGAGTGTCTATCATTAAAGAGACCCTAGAAATTCATGGAATTCAACCTGAAGGAAAATATAAGAGGAAAAAATTGGAAAAAAGAGAATAATCTATGAAAACATCAATATAAATATTGATATTTAACCATTTCTGTTAGACATAATCTCTTCTACCTGTGGAATTTATGATATTTTTTGGTGCTGCTGATATTGAGACTTGAAATCTTTTTGTAAATACTAGAAACGCTGCACACTATTGAGGAAAACATGGAGTTAAGAGAAAGAGACGTTGGCTTTTTATCTCTCTCTGGCACTTTTTTTATTAAGCTGTTTAGCTTTGTATATGCTAATTAACATTTCCAAGACTCAATTTTTCCACTTGTAAAATGTTAGTAAAAATAGAAGTCAGTGTTTATTGAATGCTTACTGTATGCCAGGTACTGGGCTAATATTTAATACAAATAATGATTATAAACATCACTACACATCTGTGAGGTAGATCTGTCATCATTATCATCATTGTTATTCTAGTATGCTATGCTATTATAATCTTAGATTAACATGCAGTATAGTATCATGTTATTGAATAGATTGTGAGGATTTGATCATAAATGTTATGCTATATGAACATCTTAATTTATATTTAATTTTAAAAGTGAGGAAAATCTGTCACAAAAGTTTATAGAACTTAGCAAAACTCAGAGAGCTAGTGAGCAGAGAATGAATTTTCAAACCAGGAAGCCACCTGCAGGAAGCACCCTCTTCTTTGGTGTTGCCATCATGGCAGCCGCCTGGCGTCAGGAGTTATGAGCATGGGCCATGGGTGACAGATACATGGCGCATGGTAACAATTAGTAAAATTAAAAAAAATCAGTGTAGCATGCATTGTCCTTTGAGTGCTCAGAGGTTAGAGGCAGTCAAGCTCTTCTTTGTCCTCCTCTCACAGTATCCAGAAGAAACATTCTTTGTCCATTCCAGAGACTCCATCATTATGTTATGAATGACTCATTTTGCAAAAGATTCTTTTAATTAGTTACACTTGTTCATAAATAATGTAAAACAAATGATCTGCTACTTAGTTAACATCATAATAATGTAAATGTAACACCAAGCATTTAGGAAAGACAAGACTTGTCATCCTGCTGGCAGTGGTGGATGGGAGCAAGGGTGGAGCAGAAGTGGGACATTGTTGCATCTGAGTGAAATTTCAGTCTCTGTAGAAAGGAGTGCTGGGAAGCCCTCCCTGGAAGGAATCATATAATCTTGACTTAAAGTGTCACCAGAAAGGTTTGAAGACATCTACCACTAATTTCAAAATTACAGTTAATGAAAGGGTCTTTTTCACTTGGCATTAGAAAGAATCAATTTTACTGAGGAATAATTTGCCTACAATAAAATGCTCCTATTTTAAATTCATTGCCTTTTCCCAAATTTATACACCTGTGTAATTCTCACTAGGGTTTCCCTGGTGGCTCAGTGGCAAAGAATCTGCCTGCCAATGCAGAAGACATAGGAGACGTGGGTTTGATCCCTAGAAAGATCCCCTGGAGAAAGAAATGGCAACCCGCTCCAGTATTCTTGCCTGGGAAATCCCATGGACAGAGGAGCCTGGCAGGATACATTCCGTGGGGTTGCAAAGAGTTGGACATGACTTAGCGACTAAGCAATGATATTCCTTCCTCTGAGTCTAGATTATATTCATTTTTTCTAGGGTTTCATGTAAAATGAATCATACAGTATGCATTCTTTTTAGTCTAGCTTCTTTCACTCAGCTGAATGCTTTTGAGATGTTGTTAAGTGCATCCACAGGTCATTCATTTTAGACTGCTCAGTAATATTCTACTATATGGATATAATGCAATTTGATTGTGCATTCACCTTTCATTGATGTTGGTTTGTCCCCAGTTATTGGTTACAGAGCTCATATGAACATTTGTCTACATGTTATGATATGGAAATATGTTTATATTTCTCTTGGGTAAATACCTAGAAGGGGAAGTTACCAATCATATTGTAAGTGTGTATTGAAGCTCATAAGCATCAGCCAATATATTTTACAAAGCAGTTGCACAATTTTACATTCTCATCTGTGACTCCCATTGTACTACATCAACTCAAACACTTGGTTTTCTCTGCCTTTTTATTTTAGCCATTGTGGTGGCGGTTCCTCTTAACTCTTATTAACAAAGGTAATGATTTCAAAATATAGTTATGTATTCATCATATATCTATGATCACTGTCGTAGTTTTCCAATTAAACTATGGGTCACAACTCATAATAGGTTGAGACCAACATTTAAAAAAAAAAGAGAATAGGAAAAAAGTATTTAAGTGCACCAAATGTAATAAGGCATGCATTCATAATGAGAAAAATAACATCTGTAAGAGGGTAAAAATTAGGTATTGAGGAGGAGGAAGCTTGGATCTGACAATGGTTCCCGGCTCTCCAAAACCAACGAAGTCTCATTCCTTATTATTTAATTTCAATTAGGTTTTATTGGCTACCACACAAGGCTTGGCATGGGAAAAATATCTAAAGTGTATACAAAATAAGGCTATAAAAGTACAGTGAGTAAATGGCTGTAACTGAAACTCCTCTTGACCAACTGCCTTATCTCAGAGTCATACACTGATGCCTGTGGGCCGCCCTGTGGCTTCTGCTTCTGCTTGATCCCTTTTGTGTGAAACCTGAGCCTTGAGAATTAAAGAGTTTACATTTATTAGCTAATCTACAAAAGCTAATCGAAACACTAGCATGTTAGATGCGTAGAAGAAAAATTGTTGACACCCTCTACATGAGTATCTAGTAACTATACAGGTTGATTAGTGTTTTCTCATAGAAAGCAGAAGTTCAAGAGAGTTAATTTCTCTAAAACTTTTTCAAAAATTACTTTTAAAAATATTTTACTTTTGCTAGAAAATGATTATTTTAAATGTTTGAAGATTTTTATTTGTATTGTTATACATTCATATCAGTTACTATTTTCCATATGTAATTTGATATATTACCATTTATAAGTAAATACATTTTATGTTTCCCAGCATGTAGTTATAAATTTATATTCAGTATTAACAGATTTTACATTGTTATTTAACTTTTCACAATAAAATTTTTATTTTGTCCTTTTTAATCCTATACTGAATAAAAAATAAAGCTTTATATTTCCTCTTTAATGTATAAAGCCCAGACATATTTAAGATATATAAAGAGATGTAAATATGTCTGTGGCATTAAAATTTCATGGGGTAGGTGATTAGGAAAAAACATCTATTAACGTACCATTAAGGGATGATAATGAAAAAAAAAAAGGTTGAATAATAAAGGAAATAATTTAAAACAATACTTTGTTTCATTTTTATAGTTTTATATGGCTGCATAACTACATGTAAAGTAATATAGATATCTACTTTAAAATTATATATATATATACACACATATATATAATAAATATCACAAATGTATATACATAGCTCAGTTCAGTTCAGTCTCAGTCATGTCTGACTCTTTGCGACCCCATGGCCTGCAGCACGACAGGCCTCCCTGTCCATCACCAGCTCCCGGAGCTTGCTCAAACTCATATCCATCTAGTTGGTGATGCCATATACATAGTTAGCTATCAGTATACACATAGTTATGTGTGTACTGGCTTGGAATATAAAATACAACTCTTAATTGTATGCAGTGAAACACACTGAAAAACACAGAGAGAAGGAAATGAATTCAACATGAATCTTCATGATGATAATAAATCTGCCCTTTAATGACTATCTCTCAGATGCTGGACACCATTCTCAGCACAGTAGAAGTATGCCATATTTCCTTCAACCCTTTTTATATCTTTACATTTTTTTATATAAGCAAACTGAGGTTCAGAGACATGAAACGCCCAATCTTAAAACGCTAATTAGTGAGAGACCTCATTCAGCTCTGGCTTACCCCAAGACCCAAGATCTTTTTGCTCTTTTTGTCTCTTCTTGGCCTCGAATAGCATGCAGTGTGGAAGTAATGATGAAAACATGAGTAAAATACACAAATGCTATGAGATACATACAGATGAGTAAGTTATTTAGCAAGCATTTGTATAATGAATATCACAAATGTATATACATAGTTCAGTTCAGTTCACTCAGTCATGTCTGACTCTTTGCGACCCCATGGCCTGCAGCACGCCAGGCCTCCCTGTCCATCACCAGCTCCCGGAGCTTGCTCAAACTCATGTCTATCTAGTCGGTGATGCCATATACATAGTTAGCTATCAGTATACACATAGTTATGTGTGTACTGGCTTGGAATATAAAATACAATTCTTAATTGTATGCAGTGAAACACACCAAAAAACACAGAGAGAAGGAAATGAATTCAACATGAATCTTCATGATGATAATAAATCTGCCCTTTAATGGACTATCTCTCAGATGCTGGACACCATTCTCAGCACAGTAGAAGTATGCCGTATTTCCTTCAACCCTTTTTATATCTTTACATTTTTTTATATAAGCAAACTGAGGTTCAGAGACATGAAATGCCCAATCTTAAAACGCTAATTAGTGAGAAACCTCATTCAGCTCTGGCTTACCCCAAGACCCAAGATCTTTTTGCTCTTTTTGTCTCTTCTTGGCCTCGAACAGCATGCAGTGTGGAAGTAATGATGAAAACATGAGTAAAATACACAAATGCTATGAGATACATACAGATGAGTAAGTTATTTAGCAAGCATTTGTTGATGAGTGTAGTATATGTGTTTACAGTTCCCAAGTTTGGAGTGTGATTGTCTGCTTCATCAGTAAAATAAGGCTAACCCTACCACCAGCTTCATAGATGTTTTTGTGAGTATTAAGCGAGACAATGTCTGCCCGAACCTGAAGTAGGAATGGCTCAATGATTCTTAAGTGTTATGAGCTGGACATTATAGAACACATAAACCTGCCTAAAATACTGTCACAATCCAGTTTCACATGCAACTTTTACAGAGTCCTAAAATCTGTGCAAGGACAGAGTAAATATAGTCTTTGTTGTGGGTATTCAAGAAGCAAAAGGTGCCTGTGATGCTTGGACAAGACAAGGGCAGGAGAAAGACCTCCACCTGAACTCTGAGGACTTTGGAAAGGCAGAAAAGAAAGGAAATTTATTTTAAGCCAGGCAAGAATAGAAACAAGATACAGAGCAGGAAATGAGCTTGGTCTTTAGGGAATCAGAATTTGTGAAACACAGACTTGGAGAAGAATGGGAAGCAAAACAAGAAAGGAAGGCTGATGCCAGAGGTGGAAAATCGGTGTCCAGTTCTTTGAGAAGTTGAAAGTCACTGAAGGTTTCTGGTCAGGTGAATGAAATGATGCCTTTTAAAGCTTACTTGTGACATTATATGGGAACTGGAGACATAGTTGGTACAAGAAAGACAGTATTGAAACCACTGCATTAAATCAGAAATCCATGCAGAATGAAGTGGATGGGGATGGCAATGATGGAAATGAAATGGTCAGTTTAGGTTGGAGTAGCTGTCTCCCCTCTCCTCCAAAATAATCAAGAGCATTTGGGTATGATACAAGGAAAGGAAGTAATTAGTGACAACTGTGTGATTTCAAGGCCTCAAAGAAGGTGAAAGATCATTACTATGAATAATGTAGAGGTAAATAAACAGACTTAATAAATCTTTGATTCTACACCTATTACATCTAATATGATTATAAATAAACACAGTTATATAAAAGGGTGGCACCAGTGGTAAAGAACCCGCCTGCCAGTGCAGGAGATGTAAGAGATGTGGGTTCAATCCTTGGGTGGGGAAGATCCCCTGAGAAGGAAATGGCAACCCACTCTAGTAGTCTTGCCTGGAGAATCCCAGGGGCAGAGGGGTCTGGTGGGTCACAGTCCATGGGGTTGCAGAGTCAGACAGGACTAAAGTGACTTAGCATGCATGCATGCATATAAAAGGGATTTTGATAAAATATTAATTATAAGTCAGCAAAATGCTCAGATCTTGCATGTAATTCTGGAAACCATCAGCACAGAGATAATGACTGAAGTGCTTAGATTAGATGGCTTGCCAAGGGATACAAGTGACCAGAATTCCCAGGACTGCGTGAATGAAATCTCTCTACAACTTCAGGGAGCCATTGTCTGCACTTGCATCAGCGTGAATTTATTCACAGATACCTGTAAGACCTTTTCCTTTCTGTCAGTCAAAGTAGACTACCCAAGAGTTTTACCTAAAGTGTCTCTGGGAAGGTAAAGACTCCCTCCTCTCACGCTAAGTAAAGTGGTGCAAAGAGAAGCAACAGGGGAAACTGCCATTAGCACACCATGCTTATGGTCAAGTCCCCAGTGGCAATGCTTAACGATTCATTGTAAACTGTTCACAGAGTCAATCTGTTAGGCTCTATCCAGGATCTTTATGAGATCTAATGAAGCATATGGTGCCGTATATGTTAAACCATAAAACCAACTAAAAAATAGGATGGGAAATAATGTTGAATAACAAATGATTCTTTGAGAGTAAATATGAAATAATATTAAGAAAAATTATTGAAAATATTAATATTTCAATATTCAATCCTTGCTGAAATAAAAATTATGAATTGGTATGTTGAGAAAACTAATTGAGATGGAAGAAAGGCAACTGAATGCCATAAAAAATATAAAATAATATATTCATGGTTACATTTTGATTTGGGCCAAAAATCTTAAGACTCAAATGTTTTTAGTTTTAACATCCATCTATGAATTTGCACACCTGATTGTATGAGTGTTAAATGTTGGTGGCATGTGTGTCTTTCCACAGAAAAACTTACTTTATATGGTAACCTATTTTGTCTATAACACAGGTTTTTCTGTTTCAGTTTAATTTTATGTTCACGGTGCATTTTCAAATTTGTCTTCTGTTTTATTTGATAGAGAAATATAGCACATTTCACAAAAATTCTTTTAATCAACTGTGTTTACAGTTGATATATACATAATAAATTATGGAAATAATTTTATGTTAGTAGAGGATGCAGAAAAAAGCAGATCAAAGTCATACTCACTGTGGTAGTGCTGCTGGCAGGGAGCGTCTAATAATTGAATGGACTTGTCTGTAAACATCCAGCTTAGACATGCATCGGCAGGAGGTGTGATTGGCAAAACTGATTGTTACTGGTTTGGGGCCTTGAGAGAGAGGCACTGTAATTTCAAACAACTACAAAGAAGGGACAAAAAGAAGAAAAATTATATAGATACTATAAAGCATTTCTGTGGTAAAAGCTGGAGCCCAAAAAGAGCCCAAAACTCTTTGTGATTAGGGAGTGCCACCTAATGTATGCAGGGTGCTAAAGTTTTTTATGATTACAAGTAAAAACTGTTTTGTGTCGAATCAATATCCTTTATCAGAACAGTAAACAATCCATAGTGCTTATCTCATGCCACTATAATTAAGCATATTAGAATTTTGATAACCAATTAATGATTACAGAGATGTGACAGACCAATGTGTTCAAGGAAGAAAGGATTATCTCAGTCTTCTATTATTCCAGGGGGTTAAGAAATGGCACAGATATAAATATCTTTGTGATATAAGAGCAAAGCTATTGGCCACAAAACCTGGAAATGTTTGGTTAAGTCTTATTTTCTATAACCTGAGTATACACATGTAAAATACCTAGATGTAAAATTGATTTTCATGCCAAATGAAAATCCAACTTCAAAGTAGCTTTACATTTTCTGATATATCTGATGGGTTTATTATGTTTAAAAGAAAGGTACATTCATTAATAGATAAAGCATCATTTCTGCTGTTTTGACAAAAGCATTATGAAAATATAAGCGTAGAATAGGGAAGGACATCATACATGAGGGTGGATTAGAGTATCAAATTTTGTTTAAAATCTTATTCTGAATGCCTTATTAATGGAGAAGTTCAGTTTTTCTCTTCCTTCCACAAAAACAATGTTTTAAGTTGAATATACAAGTAAATTAGTGATTAAGTAAAACTAAGGATTTAAACCCCAAAGTTTCTTAAAATCTAAATTATGATCACTAATAATGGTAAAAGCGAAATCCTGGGCATTATCTGCTTGAAAATATCAGTTCATAGTAATTTAACTACAGTTACACCACATGTTATTTGGTATCTTTATGGACATTTGAGTAGTGCTAAAAAAGACAACACACTACAGGCTTGTGAATCCATCATCTTCTGCTGTAATTTCATGGCAACCATTAAAGATCACGGCAAACATTTAGGGAATAGAATTAGTTGTCCATTTTGTTCATGCCTAGAGGGAGATTTATTGAAATGAAGTTTGAAGAATGAAATACGGAAATACCTAAATAATAAATGTGCACTTTCTTCACTTGAAATGTACTTATTATATATTCATGTAAAACTTCAGCTACTTTCTTAGCATCAGCACCTTGGACGAAGTTTTGGCACAGGCTCACATCCAGAGAGGGCACTTTATCAGCAACCACACTTATAAGTTGTGTGATCTTGGAAAAGTCATTTAAGTTTCTTGAAGCTGAATATTTCTTTTAAAATCAGTCAATTCAGGACAGCATTTCATCCATTAATTCATGGGACTGTTTTAAAAATTATATAAACTCATGTATAAGATTGTGATATGTATTTTGATTGCTCTGTAGATGTGAGTTATTTGCATACATTCTCAAGAATTTAGATATTTTCCAGAGTACTTTACTCTGCACAGATAATCTCAACATATCCCAGTATTATAATTTTGACCAGTTTCCTCTCTAAAAAGACATTTGTTTATGCAGTCGGGAGGAAACCTTTTTTTAGGTAAAATACCATATTGGCAGAAATCTTTTGCACTATGCTTAATTATTTTAAGAGAAGATAATTCTCTACTATCTATATATACTATAGTTTTTCTACTTCTTATAACATCTCTGGACCCTACATTAGGAACCAGCATTACAGAAAAAATATAAAGTGGTTTAGAAAATAAGCATTTTCTAAACTCACTTAACTTTACTTAATTTTTATATTTACAAAGTAATTAAACCCTGTCATAGTGGACATGATAGGAAGATGTATAGGTCAGCTCACAAAAACCTAAGAATTTATGTCTAATTCTTCTGTACTCAGATATATGTACCCAGAGCTTAGGAGAGCCACTTAAAGGCCATTGGTATTAAGACTGGAATTAAAGTCTTGGACACTGATGATATTACTTGGTGAGATCATTCTGAATGAAAACAGAATATGTCTAATAATAGAAACCTGGGCAACAGGGAACATGTAAAAGATGAAAAAAGATACATGAACTAGTAAACATGCCTGGGAAGAATTATGACCTGACGTGGAGAACCAGAAGGGGGTACTGTTGAGTGGAGGCAAGTAAAAGAAAGAGAGGGGACTGTGTGTGTGAGGGTCAAACGTCCTCAAGTGTGATAAGGACTGAGCGGAAATAACTGGGTATCAAGGCAGCTCTGCAGGCTTTAGCGGGCAGGGGTCAAAGGGCAGGAGCAGGTGGGGATGGAGAAACAATAAAGCTTGCCTCATATGCTTGGGGAGGGAGGGATCAGACATTTCAGACCACAAAGGCATTTCTGCTTAGAAAATGCATATAAAAAACACTGCAAGATCTGGCATTATCTCAAGTGACACAAGGCAGAACAAGGCCTGATAGTGAAGGATAAGGCACCATTTGAGATAACAGCTATTGCAGAAGAGTGAATGATGGTTTCCCAACCCCAGACCTCAGCCGCATCCTTCCTCCATTCAATGATTGTTGCAAAACCAGGTTCCACCCTGGCATGACCTCCAAAGGGGAGACAGCATTATGAGTGATCACACACAGACTTCAGCCATCCCTGGGTGGATAATATCCACAATCAGGACCCACCCCAAAGCACCAGGTGTGTACCAGGGAACAGAAGACTGTTCTAGTGAGACAGAGATCAGTAAAAAGCACATTGTGAAGCATCTTCCCAGTGAAGTAAGCCTGGCCCTATACTTTCAAAGGGTGGAAGGGATTCTGGTCGGTGAATATAATAGCTATAAGGATAAAAGGACAAGTGAAGGGGCACAAAAAAAAACACAACAAAAAAAACTGTATATCCCCTAAAAAAAAAAATTTCACAAAAACAAGAAAACTGGAGAAGAGTAGAAGAAAAAAAAATATAGAAAAAAAAAAAAAAAAAAAATAAAAATAGAGATGATAGAGAGATGTCTCGTGTGGGGCTATATGTAGGTAATTGGACAGTTGAATTAAGTTAATTTTATCAAAAGGAAGAAATAGGCTGAAAATTAAAGTAAAACACCTTTTCTTTTCTTGAAACACAATTTTAACCTCCAAATGTTGACCTGAGAGTTTTCAGGGGGTTTCCTTAATTCTCTACTTGACTGTGCCAGTGTGGAAAAAATTTAAGGACCTGGAGCAGGATGGCTTTGACCAATATAAAAAGGAGAAAGATTTTTGACAAGTAGTTTTATGCATCCGACAACTTTAGATAAACCAGAAACATTCACTGAGGTGTCCTGTAGGTGTGGGCATTAAGGAGTATTTGTACCTATGCCAGCTGAAGATACCAGTTTCATCAATTCATGACTGAAAATCACAGTCAAACAAAACTAACAATAAGAGCGAATTTGGAAAATAAATCTCTGTGTATGTATAATGAGATTAGGTTAGAATTATGAAGATACCAAATAATTTACCGCAAATGCTCTTGGTAAACAAGAACCTGCAGTTTCATCCCTTTAAGGAATCTCTGCCTGCTATTTATATAATGGCTGAAACCAACACTGACTATCATTTTCTTTCAAAAGAGTTAAGGTGTAGCCAAACACGTTAGTGTTTGAAACAATAGATTCTTTATACTTTAATACAATAAAAATCTTAAATTTAAATTTAAACTCAGAGTGCAAAGTTTATGCACTATGTTCAGTTTTAGCTAATAATTCTACGAATATACATGTACCTAGTAAATACTAATTGATGATGATAATTATAACTTGGTATTTTGAATATGAGTTTCCCAAAATAGTTTGATGTCATACAGTGAATTGTTCTTGAACGATGGATGTTTAGCTTGTATATAATTTAGCATCTAAATAAAAATAAAACTTACCATGGGGATTGATGCTATACTATCAGTATATGCCTTTCATTAAGAGTCACTGGTTAGAAAAGATCAAAAGAATTTACATAAAGATGACATTTAAACATGGATGGAAATTGAAAAAATTTTTTGATTGTTTATTCAGTAAAACTGTAATAAACAAGAGGAAATGACAAACATTTCCAACTGAGAGGTCCTCATTTGCTATCAACTGGAATTCTTTAATAAAAATATTTAATGGTCCATTCCCACCAACAAGAATGGACTTCAAATAAAGCTTGAAACAATAGGTTGTTTATCCCAGGGTAGCAACAATCCCTATTTCTACTTCTCTTGCAGGCCATGTAAGAAAAAGGTATAGGATTTCCTTTCTTGAGAAGATCCTGGATTACAGGTTAGAACCAAATTCTAAAGAATGTTTGAATATTTGGCTACAAATATGACACACACACACACAATGCCTTCCTTTACAACATTCTTTTATCTCAAAATATGACCAGTTTCTCTTCAGAGACTAGTATCTCACTACCGTATTTAATTTAAATATTCCAACTTTGAGCCTGTTAATTAAGTGCAGATACAATATGTAGCCTCAGAAAGCATGGCTAATAACTGCAGAGAAAGAAAGTCGGACTCAGTCACATCCGACTCTTTGTGACCCAATGAACTGTAGCCCACCAGGCTCCTCCATCCATGGGATTTTCTGGGCAAGAGTACTGGAGTGGGTTGCCATTTCCTTCTCCAGGGGATCTTCCTGACCCAGGGATCAAACCCAGGTCTCCCTCATTGTAGGCAGATGCTTTACCGCCTGAGCCACCAATGCGAACTTAAAGACTAATAACTGCAAAATCCAATAGAAAAACTACACAACATTTAAGCAAATCATCCTCCAAATGGGAAAGAGGAAAACTGAGGGTTTATTTTTAACCTTTCAACTGAGTATATTAACCATATGGCCGGGTATCAAGAGGTTATGAGAACTTAAGCTAGGTCTGGGAAGACATCTGACACTGAATTCATTTTATATGTTTTTATACATAAAATGTACACACAGTAATACAGTTAAAATAAAAATGCCAATTCAGGAGTCTTAGAATTACTGAATAAAACTTG